TAAATTTAATAGAACCGACTACCTTCAAGTAGATATGGGTTCAGTGCTGTCTGTTTGTGCTGTGGCTACTCAAGGAGAAGCGCGATTTTTGGAATGGACCACCAGCTATAAACTGCGCCTATCCATTGACGGTTTGACTTGGAACACTTACGAGGAGACAAATAAAACAAAGGTTTGGAAGTACCATCATTAGATCCTAGTTACTTTTCATCATATTTTACCAGATTTTCGAATATTCACAATTATTCCACGAGGCAAAGTCTGAGGCTATCCCTACCAAAAGTAAAACAGAATTTTGGGAGAAGGACCTTTCTTTTTACTGGCGCAGAAATTTTTAATAAACTTCCTTTAAACATTGTGAAGAGTGAAAACATTCAAACGTTCTGTCGCCGAGCAAAACATTTCCTTTTACCGTAATTTTGATAATTTTGATATTTTATTTACTATGTTATGTTTTAATTGTGTTTTAGCTTTGTAGTTTTAGGCTGTTAATGTAGTTGTAAAATCTTAGTCATTATATACACATATATATCTATTCTAGAAATTTGATGTAAATTATTTTCAATACAGGGCCCCTATGGATACCAGCCTTAGAGCTGAATGGGCTACCCTGTGTAAATAAAGTTTGCTTTGCTTTGCTTTGTTAGCCGAGGTCGATAAAAAAAGAGTCCTTTATTTTGCTCTGTTTGCTTCTCTCCGAGGTCATCAGAGAAAAAAAAATACACTACCGTGACTAACTCTGGCGTACACAACAACTTCATTTGGGTTTTTGTAAGTAGTTCACAATCTTGATATTGAACGTTCGGATGGAGCTCGATGTTTTCGGAGAAATCACTTTTTCTCGACGCATATCGGTCGAAGCCTTAAACAGTTATTTTTCGTGGTACCTTGACTTCGTTGGACCCTCTAGACCCGCAAAATAATCCAAATACTGAAGGTTCACATCAGGCACGCCTTCGGAAGAAGCCATTTTAAAAGCTTAGTCGTCCCCCCAACATGGCGGCCGCGTATGATGTTGCGAATTTTTGTCACGTGGTCGAAAACAAAGAATATTAGACTTTGAGAGTAAGTAAGGCAATCACTCCAAAATTTCTTTGATTGAGGTTTGCGAAAGTGCAGAAATTAATTCGAGATATAGAGACATGTCATCAAGCAATTCTTTCAATTCTTTTGAGGAAAGGATACCTTTGGTGGATCTTGGGCCTCGCTCACCGGATGTGGTTAGGCCTTGTTACTACATATTACAGGTCCTCGGCATGTGGAAGCCTTCGGACGGAAAATTTGAATTTGCCTGGCGAGTTTATCGCGGATTTGTGATCTTTTTGTGGTTGGGATCTCTTGCAGCTGTTAAGTGTTTGGATTTTATACATTACGGCTTCAAAAAGGAAACGATTCACCTGGGTGAAATTATGAACAGTGTTCCAACCTGCCTCAATCGACTCTGTCCGTTCATGTTCACCGTGTATTATTTTAACCGTGGCCAGTTTTTGGAGCTTGTTTACAGCGTACAAAATGTCTCTCATGAGTGGCAGGAGAGGTTATGTCGTATTGCGCGATGGTATACCATAATGTCAGTATCTCTTTGGGCTCTTGGGGCCGCATTTTTCATAATTCACTGGCTTCCTTTCTTCTCCGAATGGTGGCACTATGCAGTCTATATAACCGTTGTTGTGTATGCTATAGGCTGGTGGGCGACGTGGCTAAGCATCTATGGATTTGTTTGCCACGTTCACGGTTTGCAAATTGATACTGTTATAGAACAAGTGAAGTCTCTTGAATTAAAACCGACAGCAATTCTGCAAAAACATCATCAGTTACAAACCTCACTGGAAACAACACAGGCAGATTTCAATCTGATTATTTCTTTTGCTTTAGCATACCATGTGGTCGATGTGATCACTTTTAGCTTTGCTTATTTTAGTTCTTCATTCGGTGCAAATTATAAACTCTGGCAATATGCAGGGGGTGTTCTTTTTGATTTGGTGAGCATTGTTGTCAAACTGTACCCCCCATCGGTAGTGGCAGGTGCTGTTCACCGCATGGTTATCCAGGCCTCAAAGCGCTGTCAGTTAAAGGTGACCCCCTGGACAACAGATCTACCTGTTGAAAATATACAGTTATTCCAGTACATGGCATTATGTGAGTCAGATATGGGTCTTAAAATTCTTGGAATTCGTATCACTGTAGATCTGACGATGAAGATTCTTGTGACTCTTACAACAGGTGCTGTATCATTTGTAGCATTTGTCATTCCAAAGCTTCAGTAAGGGTCACCCTTACAATGACCAGAATGCATTAAGTGTGATTGGCTTTGAAAAACTGCTCAATGCAGACACTTGTTACTTAAGTGTCACTCAGCAGAACTCCTAAAATCCTGAGGGAAAGGGTATGAAACCAACACCTGTCTCTTGGTAGTATTGTCTACTTAATGCAGGTATACTGAGCATTAGCTGTTATTTGTTAATTCCCAAATCAAGATAGCTTAAGCTGATGAATAGAGAAAAGCAAAAAATAGTCTACTTATTTATTAATTTTAGTGTCATATGTTGTGCTGGTCAACACAACTTTCTCTGGAGGTTATAGGAAGAACCAAAGACAATTTGAGCCCTGAATAAGATATTATGGGGAATGAAATATTGTCAACTTGGAGCTATATCAAGCAAAACATGATCATTTTACACACAATATGAACACAACCAACTCAATGCAACATGTGTGGAGTAATCATCAACCTACCAAATCTGGACCTCTCGTAAGGCACTCCATGGATTCTTTATTAGGTTCTGCCTTATTTCAGACCAAAACATTCAATTTTCATGTCATTTTATTTGCAATCACACACTCTTGGGCCACACATTTCACTCATGTCTGATTAGATGGCAGGTGGCACAGCCAATTAGATTAAAGCATTTGTGATGAAATGCTGGTAGATCTATACTCCTTGGGTATCTTACTGTTTTAGTTATAAAGCTTTGTTACTGCATTTGAAAAATTTCAAATACGTTTGTTTTGTTTTTTTTGAGTAATTAAAGAATTCAAATTTATTTAATAAATCACAGTAAAAAAAGCAAGATAACAAAATACAGTTCAACCTTTTATTCTTAATGCATTGAATCCTAAGAAAATACTCCACAGCCTTATTTAATTAAATAATTAAAATACTATTTCATCTCTTTTAAGAATGGCTGGACTTGTCATTTGATCAAGAATATAAACATTACAGTAGAAAAGAAACAATTCCTTCATCCTAACAACTTAGTTTAAAGTTCCACATCTATAGATAGGATTCTGCACATCACAAGTTTACACATTTCAGTATTCATCATTCTGCAATGCCATTGCTAAAAATTACCCCACCCCCCAAACTGCAAAATGGTCAATCAACTACCCTGGTACATATAAGCTCATCCTTGATGAAAACTTTTTATGTGCCAAGTAGTGAAATATCAAAGATTCAATTGAAATACTGCCATCATTAAAACCCTTAATGATTCTCTAAATGAGCTGAAATGTGGAAAACCCTATCTGTGTAGTAACAAGGGCTCAGATTATTTTAGTTATGTTTAATGCTACTGGAAAACATTTGACCTCTGAAAATTCATGTGGTAACATGCATTTAAAAACACTGTGACAGATGAAATATAGCTCTTAGCATTCTTATGTACACAAAATATTAAGCAATTCCTCAATGAGGTTGAGCATCATATGAATTATCAAAACCAAGCTCTGAGTTATCTGCCAAAGCCAAAGGCTGAGGCAGATAACATAGACAGGTTTAACCCTTTCATTCCCAAGATCTCATTAGTACTTCTCCTCACTGTCTGCCATACAATTCTTATGATGTTAGTTTGGAGAATTTGGTGTAGGATCAACTGATGATTCTCATAATTATTTCTATTTTACTTTATTCTCATCATCACTTGTCTGCTTGATATTGTATTGAAGTTATAAGGAGAAAATCTGTCTTGGTCATTCATGGGAGTTAAAGGGTTAATAATTCAAGTTATCATGCAAAAACCAAATTTAAGAATTGTTTTATTATACAATTTCTAAACAATCTGCAAGATGATACTTAATTGAATCAGCTATTATTAGTTTCTCTCTGAGTTTGGAAAAGTTTGAAAACACTACCCAGACAAGGGGCTTGGAGACTAGGCAGACTTTGAACTCAACATGATAAATGCATTATTTAGTGCAGATATTGCACTTATCAACTTCATATGCTTTTGTCTATTGATTGATTGCTCTCAACCAATCAGATTTTTCACAGTAACTCGAATGTGCAATATTAGTGGTTATTAACTCACACTTTACACAAAAACAAAAACAAAAAAACCATTAAAACAACACCATTGATCATTCCTTTTTACCAATTGTGCTATAAAATGTTATCGCAGGTCTATTAAAATTAACCTCATTTTGGTGAAGATTAATACAAAGTCAGCTGGGTGAGCATGTGAGGATGTACCAAAAGAAATAAATAAATAAATAGAAAACTCTTTCAATTGGATACCAACTAACTGTGCATCTCCTTGGTGAGTTTCATTTTTTTGAATTCCTCTCTGCTTGCTCAAACAACTAAACCCTGATGTGACATTTCTCACAAGCTGATTATTAAAAAAAAGCCATCTGATTAAAGCTGTTTCTTGAAACTGTAAAACTACAACAACATGAAATTTTATATGATACATTTTCAAGTCAGTAAGGTGCTTATTATTTACAGTGTTTGAACACAGCCCATCTCTTTCAGTTGTATCTGTCTGTATCTCAATCTACTGTGTGTGAAAGGAAGACCTGCTGTTGATCAAGAAAATAACAAATTGGTTGTCATTGACAGTTATTCTTTTATAATTCAGGTAAGATAATATTTTAGAGGGAGTTAGAAATATTAGATTGAAAGGACTACAATACTTGGTACTGGTATTAATGTGGTTCAACAAACACTAAATATTGATATATTCTCATCATTTGAATTTCATATACAATCTAGAAAATTGGTGTTCCAATAAATACATCTTACTTGAGACAATTTTTCTATCTGTTGAAGAATACTGGCAAACTTGATAAATTCCTTGTCAGGGTAAATGGCAAATTATAAACAATTATTGGATTTGGTTTTTGTGACATCCAGAATAAACAAGGTCGAGGTAAGTGTTATCAGCCGAAGCCGAAGGCTGAGGCTTGTAACTCTAACCAAGACCTTGATTACTCCGGATATCACAAAAACCGAATCCAATAATTGTTTTGTTATACATTGTTTTAAAGAAAATAACGCCAAACGCATTATTGCAGTGAACACATTTTATTTTCGAACACTTAAAAATGTACAACTGTGTGGTAAACAAATTTTCACCTTTTTATAAAACAATCAAGGGCAGAAAAGTTAAATGCATTTCTAAAGAAAGTATCATTGAAGAAAACTGTCGATCTTTTAGTATTTTTCAAATCTTTATCTTCAAGTAACTTCTCAATTTCTCGCTGAGTTGATGAAGCGAATCGAGAAGCCATTCTTACTTTGCTGTCTGTGAACTTGACATTGCTCCACCGGAAATCATGCACTGTGCGCGCAACCTACAGATTATTCACTAATCTGTAGGTACAGTTTAGTGAATAATCTGTAGTTTGTGCTGTTTCCCAGAATTAACTGTGGGTGTTTAGCCAATGAGAAGACAGATGGTGACTACAATGTATAACAATCACCACAATTGGTTTGAAGGCAGGATTTAATGAACTGCAGAAAAACTGAAAGTAAGGTGCACCACTTTGGACTTTGAGAGAGTGCACTAGTTTGTCTTGTAACTTTGATTTCATCCATAGTTGGTAAAAGAGATTGGTTATGAAAGTTGGTGATAAATAAACAATAGCCTTTATTTAGTGCAAAAACATGCACAGATATTTGAACAGAGATTATCTTTTCCAAGATGTGAACAGTTTCCCAGGAGCAAAGCTCGAGGAAAACTATGAGCTTTGAGAAACATAATGTCCAAGGAAATATTTTGCATGGAAGATGTTCACGAACAGCTTGCTTTTTGCTGCATGGGGTGTTTTCTTTTAAGTGCTCTCTGGTATGACTTAATGAACAAAAATACTTTCCTTCCTCTGTAACAACCATAAAACTCCTTTTTCATCTTGAATTAAATTTTAAATGAAGACGTATTGTGGTGAATGTTAGGTTTGGAAATTGATCACTTGGATGATATCCTTAGATATCCCCAGTTTCAGTTCGGGGAAAAATGTCACATGTTGCATTTAGATCAATCACGTACATGCAATAATAAGATGAATCAATATGAAGGATATAGGAACAATGATGCTACAGATTGTTCCAGGAACTCTCTGACTGTATGCTGTCTTTGAATTAGTTTTCTTAGAACATAATGATCAAATTTATCAATGAGTGATGACTTTTGATGAGATAGGTTCTAAATGTTCCTGTAACAAAGATCAAAAGAACTCACTCACCTAACAACATCAATATTTGGATTTAAGTCTATTGTTCTCTTCTTTTAACCTTTCAATCTCAGTAATCAAGGCTTCATTGACTGAATACTTTTCTAGCATTCCTTTCAATTCATTCTGTAAAAAACAAACAAACAAAAACAGCAAAGTTGTTACTGTAGAGCTAACAGAATTTAATTGTGCACATGGATATAATTTTCAAACAATTTCAAGAATTTACCTACATGTATTATATGAAGAAATTGTAACAGTGAAGTTGTAATCACTCCAACTCTTTCTAACTGTGTTTAAGACACATGTTATGTCTACTGTATCTCCAGATTAAGAACTACTGTTTTCCTTTGGAGGGGTACAATCCCCTGTTTTATCCTTATGGCAAACATTTAAAGCTGAAAAGAATCAACTTTTAGAGTTCCAAGCTGCCAAGATTTTGGTTGCCACACCAAGTAGAACAGTTCTTTAGCAGCTATTAAATTTGAAAATTGAGTAACCAATTTGACAACATGTGTTAACCTGTTATGCAACAAACTGTACTGTGTCTATGCTTGTCTTAATGACTGGTTTCAGGTGAAAGTGAGATGAAAATTTGCGTAAAATATCAGCAGAGCTCCGCTGTTTTCTCCTTAAGGTTACCAGATAGTTTCACAGTAACTTGTGTCCCAGAAAATTACTATTAAAGCCAGTGCCTTGAGTTTATCCCTATAAAACCAAAGTATATCTCATTTCAAAGCTTATAGGTTGCAGAATTTGATAATTTACTTAATAATTTTTTTCTGAAATGCAGAGATAATAATTTACAAATTTGCAATATATTAATATCTTTCTGGGTAAAGGAATCAATAATCTTTTTGGGCAGGATCTGAATTTATAATCAATTCCCCTTCTCTTGCAAATTCAAACATAGATTAACATCTAGGTTACCTAGAAATATAGCTAATATACCAAGTTTCTTGTTTGGAGGTTTAAAAAAAACAGACTTACTTTCTGAATTTGAAACTGTCTCAGCATTTCAACCTGCACATTAACAATGTCCCTGTGTAATGCTACCCTGATAATACAAATGAAAAATATATAGGTAGGACTAAAAATATACAAACTAATAGTTAAATGAAGACACATAATATTACATAAAATAAATATAGTGATGGCAGATGAACCTCTCGGCAATAATTGATGATGTTTCCACGTGAAAGAAAAATAATGATTATAATAATCTTATTTTATACCTGAACTCATCCAGTGATTCCTCAATCAGGTTCTTAATAAATTGCACCTGAAATGGTAACAGGCCTGCATTACTGGCACCACTTGCACCCACATCAGTAATTGTAGTTGCCATACCAACAGCTCCACTTGGTAAAGGATCTGGACTATGGTTTACATTATCAAATATTAAACTCTCCCCAGGTGACACTGAAATAGATTTGGAAGTAAAAACAGTTACTAAAATTAGAACTACTAGAAGATCTTCTTTTACTTGATTTAAAACCCACTTATCAATTAGAAACTAAATTGAAATCTCAACATCAACTTACAAGAAACAATTTCCTCTATCTCAAAATAGAGACAGGAAGTAAATAAGTGTGTAAAAAATAATTGTTTGATATATAATATTATAACAAAAATATTTTCCCATTAATTACTATTATTTAATTACCTGTTTCTGATACTTTAGGCACTGTGCTATAGCCAACAGACTGATCAGGTATTCTTGACCCACCATCTGTTGACCTTCTGTGATTGGATGGAGATCCAAGTGGTGACTGAAGAACACAACACATAACAATGTTACTGATCAAGCAGCAATCGTGTTAATACAACTCATCAGTATTATCTTATACATTAATGGGTTAATTAATAGCTAAATATAATTACAACCAACTTTTGATTATTGTTTACTTAACTACTTTATTTTACTTGTTGTATTCCTGTCAAATTGAATGTAATAAATCTAAGTTCCATAATGGGTAACCTGTAAAAGGCACTGAGACCTGGAAGGTCTCTTACCAAACATAAACCCAGAAGTCGGAAACATTGAAAGAGATGTCTAATTTAATTAAGAGTAAAAACTGATGTTTTAAATTAATTGTGCATAAAGATACCAAATACAATGGAACTTCTATCCAAGGGTTAATCAGACAAAACCCATATCTACAAAATAATGTAATAAAGCAACAGTTTTTGTCTTTGGTTCACATCCAAGACCTCTTGCTCCAGTACTAGCCCTAGGTAGGTCATTTTATCTTTTTATGCCTTTCTCACGCCTCAATGAATTATTACCTGACAATCTGGTGAAATCCTGGAGGTACATGGAGCTTGAAATGGGCAGAAATTCCATCCATGAGGAGGAGGAATAATACTTTTGATCAATTATATTATGACAGAATGAGCCACTCAGCTCAAGTTCAGGTTACTTGCATCTACCTATCTATCAAAGAAAATTACAAAATACCCTTTTCCCTCTGCTTTCTGGTTGTGTAACTACATTTCCATTCTTGAGAGATCCAGATGGGGAGATACTGATTTGCTTTACATCTGCCTCAGCATGCACGCTCCCTTTAGTATCTTGTGAATCAGCACATTCTCCAAAAAAACGTGTTCTCTGATTTCTCTCAAACTGGGCCCTAGTAATGCTGGGTGACACACTCCCACTGAACACCACATCTGATGAGATCCTGGTGCCATTGTCATTCACCAGATTCTGGCCAGTGCTTAGATCAGGGAGGGCTCTGGCACCAGATGATCGCACAGTCTGAACAGTTGAAGCTGCTGTTTCATTTGCTCTATTTACTGCAAGTGTCCTTGGTGAGTTTAGATCTTGATCTATATTGCCCTTTGCTGTGGCTGTAACTTCAGCAGGGTGATGCAACTGCCTGGTTGCTGAAGAAGACAGATTGCTTCCAATTGGTGAAAATACTCCTGATCCTAAAACATAAATAAGTTGATGAAATTTAACTCCCACTTTTCCACAATTAGTGCTTAGTCATTTTATAGAAAGATTATAAATATTTAGAATCAACCCTGAGATTGCTCCAAAACACTAAAACCAACATAAGCAAGGTTTAAACAACAATCAAGTATACACAAAAGCCTTGGACAGAGCTGTAGTGTCAAGTAAGTTTTATTTTAATTGATAATAAAATATCATGCAAAATTTTGATCATGAACATCATTGTTGTTTCTTTCAACAATAAACATTCATGACCACAAGAAAGGCATCATGCAAAATAGTGAGACAAGATACGACACAGTTCATTTCAAGATTTCAATGTCCTTTACCACAACTTTTTCCCAGGAAATTCAAGAATCCCAAAAATCCTTGTATTCCTTACTGAGATCTTTTGACTGAGATTCAAATCGACATTGTGCTGGGACACATGGGGGAACTAGTTATTTTTGGTGGTCTTGGCAATATTCTGAAGGCGTCACAAAATTTCTTGCTTCACTAGCTGGTTTCAACTTAAGCAGTTAAATAATTGATTTTAGTTCTGTTGAAAACAGAGCCTCAACCTGAACTTGTTTCCTTAAACTTGCAGGTGACTAACAAGTAAATTTTATGTGCTTTTTAAGTTCAAGCAAAAATGCCATCACCATGATTTTATATCCCTACAGTTATAAAAAGGAAACTCTAGAAAGCTACAATAAACCTCTGATTTTGGTGCATCTTCAATATCGAGGAAGAAAATTCTGCTTTTTCCTCACTTCATTCTCTAAGAGCATGACACATTTTTTTAACAATCCAGTTGATAGATAATTACTTTACAATCATGCAACATGACATTGCATTGGTGCTGTAAAATGCAAAGTTTATGAAAACTTATCAAAGTTATTATACGCCCTCATTAAAGAGAAAAGGAAGTAAATGAACCTGAATAGGGTCTGAAGTATACATTAGTGGACCTGTGTCTTCTGTTCATCGCTATTTGTATACCTAGTTTGGTTTTCAGTTTAGTGCTAGGACTAGCCTGAGAACATCTCCACGTGAGAGATGCCCCAAGCTCCCCTTAATCCCCTGGACATCTCTGCAAGAGCAAAGCCCCTGCAGATAGTAAGCCCTGTGTCAAACACACACACGTCAAGCAATGGAGTTTTACAACACAGTTTTGAAAGAAACAGATCTGTTGAGGATAGAGAAATTGACAAAAATTAACCATAATTCTAATCAGTTTAATGTACATACCAATGGACTTGTCATAAATTAAATGACTTTCCAATTTTGATTTCCTTAATATTTAATAAATCATTTCAGACTTAAAATATTATTATCACATTGCACCAGACAGATTATAAATCATCAAATTGTGAAACTCTAATCATTTTTCATTAATTAAAAGTATTGCAGTTTGCAGGAACTTCATTAGGTACAGCTCTCCTGCCCAGACATGTTCTCAAAACTTTAAGAAAAGAAAATAACTTTAGATGCAAAGAGTCTTCTTTGCCATTGTTTCTCTGTGGTTATAAAAAATTAAATAAACTTGCTTTAAAAATTGAGAAGATATAGCAATGTCAATAAAGGGAAACAAAAATGCCACCTGTGACCACTGAAATAATATTATTACCTAAATATACCATGTGAAATTATTGTAAGGAGTCTCAAATAATGAAGTCTCCTGTCCAATGAGGTGAAGGCCTCTTCTTTCAAACTAACATGGTGTCTATTAACAGGTGATAAAATGTATTTCTATGCTAGCTGAAGAATCTTTTCTGATAAAAACTTCCCAAGAAGTAACCTCATTCATCAGAAAAAATTACCATTAAATTACTAGAACCACTGAATAGTCCTTTAAGGTTTTGCTTTGAAATATTTGTTTTAGAAGCTTTTTTGCTAAAAGTATTTATTGACTGCAATCTTAGACTAAATATTCCAAAAATAAGGGCTCATAAACTGACTGCAATCTTAGACTCAATATTCCAAAAATAAGGGTCCATAAAACAAGAATTGTATCCAATCATTACTTCTCATTGATAGTATGGTATGCATCAAATTATACATCCTAAAAGAAAATGTTAATTCCTGATCTTACAACTTTTCTTTCAAGGAATTTTACCACATGCTTCAGTAAAAAGATGTTTAGAAATAAATTAAAAGCAATTGTATGCAACAAAGATGATTGTTCTTAAAGCATCACTTTCCTATAAGTTATTAATTAAATTTTCTTGGCTTACAATTATTTTCTGATCACAACCACAAAATTGCAGTGTTCTGCTCCAAACTATATTTCATCCTTAAAAACAAACATCAGTCTAAATAAATTTTTACAAGGAGGTGAAAAGGGATAAATTACTCAAGGCATGATTATTTTTAATTTTGGCTCAATTCCATTAGTTTTGGGGGCCAAATCTTCTATTTTTTTATTATAAGTCATTACTGCAAATCATCCTCTCAAAGTAGGTTATTTTCTAGAATAAATGTTTTACAATAACTGTAGAAATTCTCATGCATTTATTGGTTGAGAGCCATTGTCAATAAGGTTAGAGATCACATAACCGCCTCCTGGTTAGCTCAATTGGTTAGAGCGCTGGACTGTTGGGCAGGAGGTCGATGGTTCGAGCCCCGGCCGGACCAACACTCAAGGTCTTAAAATAACTGAGGAGAATGCGCTACCTTTCTATAATATCAAGAAATGGATAGACATTCTAGTCTTCTCGCATAAGGACGAATAAACCGTAGGTCCCGTCTCCTGCATCTATTAATTAGTTAATTTGGTTTGGCAGGGGACGTTAAAGAACCCACTCACGAGATTACTGTGATGTGGTCTGGCCTGTTTACTGGGAATTGGGGGGAGGGGGCATCTTCAAATAAGTTTCCTTCGATTGATTGTAAACTGCTGATGCAGTCCGGGAAAAGTCCCCCGAAAAGTGTTGTGATGCGCATTTGGTCATATCCACATGTTAATTCGCGCAATATAAATATTAAATTATTATTATTATTATTATTATTATTATTATTTGAAGTATCATGTCATGCAAAGCACAAGCATGCAATTTTCCGAAAACCTAGCCACATAAGGAAGCTTAATAAAATCATAATTTTATTGTAAAAAAACAAGTTGTTGTCAACTTCCATCGTCTATAACCTTATTGATCATAGAAATGATGTCACTTTGCAGTGAAACCACTCAGCTGCACCTTGTGGTTTCACTTTAGTTTTGAACATTGTTGACATCATTTCTGTGATCAAAAAGGTTATAGATGATGGAAAATTGAAATCAATTTCTTAATCATAAAACTCAAACCCTGAAATGTGAAATAAAGTATAATCCTCTTCAATTTTGCATCACCATGTTCAGTAAAAGATATTCTTCAACATTTTGCCTGACAATAGTTCAAGACTAAGGAAAACAATTAAAAAGAAACATGCATCTTACCATCTAGTGGATTGTTATCTTTTAAGCTGTATGAAGGAACTGTTTCTCCTGAACTAGGGAGGGGTGGCTCATTGGTTTGCTTACTGGTAGCCTCTACAGCCGCTGTTTTGACTAATCAAAAGAAGTACACGTTAAGTGTTAAATGATGGTTACTTCAAAGGAATAAAGTTCATTCACTCTTTCATCTATCAAAATTAATATTAATACAAGCTCAATGATACTTAAACTACTAGACTAGAATGCTGTATGTCCAATAAACTTTCATTAATAATTTCTCAGGTAAAATTAAAAAATATGGCTCAATACACAAAAAAAAAGTAGAGAGAGGGAGAGAGAGAGAGAGAGAGAGGGAGAGAGAGAGAGAGAAGGTGTTTTTTAGGTGTACAATTTCATGTACACCTAAAAAACAAAAGTCCTGTTACTTTCTGGTAGAACAAAATGCCCTCTCTATCTTGAGTAATAAACGACGCCCAATTTTTTTTAATATGGACCTCTCGTGCAGTGAATAAGTCACAATTTTGCTTGGCATTTTACTGATAATTGATTAAATAGTGATGAAAAATCAAACCAAGAGTAACTTTCTGCTCACTCCAAAGGGTAAGAATACATCTTTGATTTGCTCCTTAATGGCTCCTGAAACACTGCTACACCAACCTTCTCTTAAAGGTGAGAAAATATCTTCGGATTCTTCTTGTCTAATTCCATTTTGTTTTGATAGTGGAATGTGTGAAGCATGATCTGGTACATTGATGGATGGAATGGCTGATACAGTAGCTGTTGCAACAGGCTGTGGTTCTGTTGGCACTGGAGTTGGTGTGGATTTAGTATTTGAAGTCACAGGTTTTGAACTTTTGCTACTTCCCAAACTATTAACCTATAGGCAGACATAGGTAAGGAGTTATTTGTGAGCAATGCTCATTCACAACGACAACAACAACAACAACAACAACAACAACAACTTTATTCACCCTTATTCTTGAGAAGATTAAATTAACATAAAAAAATTAAAACTAAGAAGGCGTTGGCTTCCTGAAATAACTAGAAGGTTAACAAGGCTAAGAAGCCAAACTCTGTAGAATGAATTACAATATTAGGGTCGGGACACACACACAGATGTACATACATACACACACACACACACAGACATGTACACACACAGAGAGAATTGAACTATAAATAATTATGAATAAATGAAATTTATAAGTCATGGAAAAAATATGATAGATATGTATTATACAATACAATACAATACAATACAATGTTCTTTATTTCAAGAGGGTAAATGTACATAATTAACCCAGTTAAGAGTTTTCTAACACATGGCCCTCTGTAAACCCACTCATCCCACCCAGGGGAGGACATCCATCACACAGTAATCTCGTGTGTGGGAAAGTAATGTCTCCTACCCCAACCCTGCAGGAAACGGGACCTCCATTTATTCGTCCCTATCCGAGAAGACTAGTATCTAACCTAAATAGAAAGGCAGCAAATTCTTCTCGATTATTTTAAGACCCTGAGTGTTGGTCCAGCTGGGGCTTGAACCCTCGACCTCCCGCACAACAATTCAGCGCTCTATCCATTGAGCTAACCGGGAGGTGGTATATATTAGAAATGAAATCCTGAACAATTAGGATAAAAGAAAAAAGCGTAGAGCAACAAATAAATCACAGGAATAGCTAGGAAGAAACTGATTACTGGGGAAAGCAAAAAACCAGGGTGACATTAATATTGGCACAGTAATTCATTTAAAAATTTTTTTTTTTAACCCATTAACGTCCAGTGCGCCCGTATGCGCCCATGGGGACCCACACCCTTTCTACGCCCTGTGACGTCATCATTTTTAACCCTGGAGCACGAATTCAAGCCCCTACTTGAACAGGTTGAAAATATCTTACAGACGATAGCAGAATGAGCGCAATTGAGTGGAGGAGATTGGAGAAATAGCCAAAAAACCGTGTCACTTTGACCTGAAAATCTGCACGAAGATCGTGTTTCACTACCCACCTACCTTTCCGAGCATGTGCTTTGAAAATAATGAGTAGTTTCTGAAAAATCTCTACACCAAAATGAAGCCTACTCAATTTCCAGCAAGTGAGGAGAAACTTTAGGCAAGGAGAGGGGAAAAAAAGGGCAGGAGAAAGAGAGAAAAGTAGAAGTCGTAAGTGGGGCATGACTTTTCAACCCAAAAACTATGTCC